GGTGTGCGTGGGTGTGCGTGGGTGTGCGTGGGTGTGCGTGGGTGTGCGTGGGTGTGCGTGGGTGTGCGTGGGTGTGCGTGTGTGTGCGTGTGTGTGTGTGTGTGTGTGTGTGTGTGTGTGTGTGTGTGTGTGTGTGTGTGTGTGTGTGTGTGTGTGTGTGCGTGCGTGCGTGCTAGTGCGCGTGTGTGCGTGTGTGCGCGTGCGTGCGTGCGTGCGTGCGTGCGTGCGTGCGTGCGTGCGTGCGTGCGTGCGTGCGTGCGTGCGTGCGTGCGTGCGTGCGTGCGTGCGTGCGTGCGTGCGTGCGTGCGTGCGTGCGTGCGTGCGTGCGTGCGTGCGTGCGTGCGTCTGTGCGTCTGTGCGTCTGTGCGTCTGTGCGTCTGTGCGTCTGTGCGTCTGTGCGTCTGTGCGTGCGTGCGTGCGTGCGTGCGTGCGTGCGTGCGTGCGTGCGTGCGTGCGTGCGTGCGTGCGTGCGTGCGTGCGTGCGTGCGTGCGTGCGTGCCGTGCGTGCGTGCGTGCGTGCGTGCGTGCGTGCGTGCGTGCGTGCGTGCGTGCGTGCGTGCGTGCGTGCGTGCGTGCGTGCGTGCGTGCGTGCGTGCGTGCGTGCGTGCGTGCGTGCGTGCGTGTGTGTGTGTGTGTGTGTGTGTGTGTGTGTGTGTGTGTGGGTGCGCGTACGTGGCTGTGTCTGTGTGCGTGGGGTTGTGTCTGTGTGTGCGTGCACGTGTGCCTGTGTAGTGCGAGTGTGCATGTGGATGCGTGTGCGTGCGGGTGCTGGTGCATGTGCGCACACGAGCGTCCGGCCTTCCGGCTGTGTGCGCAGGCGAACGAGTGCGGCGGGCCAGCAGGCGGGCGGGAGGGCGGACGTGCGTGTGTGGGTGGGTGTGTGTGTGTGTGCGCGTGTCTGTATGTGTGTGTGTGTGCGTGTCTGTGTGGGGGTGCGTGCGTGCGAGCGTGCGTGCGTGCGGGCGGGCGCTCTAACACGGAAATCGCTGCAACTGCATTTCTGCTGACAGGACGCTCCGAAGTTGAAGCTACTGGTAAGTCGTGCAGGGGCTTCATTGAAGTGCCAAGGCTGGCGCACAAAGGACTGCAATGCTTGGTAGTCCTGCGAGGCATCTTGCAAACGCAGAGATCAAAGTGATCTCCCAATCGGAACACAGCGCACAGCGCAGCGCATCAGCATGATTTGGCATCCTAACTCTGAATCAGCCAATGCTACCTGCACTCAAGTGTCGTTCTGCCGCACTCTGCACTTCCTGCCTGACCGCACAAGCCTCTGCAACACTGGGAGGTGTGTGAATTGATTTCACCTGTGATTTATATGCAGCTTGACTCAGAATGCAATTTGGAGCTAGATAGTTTGTTGAGAGAAAGCGGCGATTGAAAAGATGACCAAACATCGGGCCCTCCAGTGCTGCGTGAAACGGATGCGCATCGCCTGTCACCACCCGGCATTGGCACTACTGTCTCTGGCAACCAACAATTGCCTTACGTTCTTAAATTCTTAACTAATAGCCGCTGTCAACATTGTTATTGTCACTCTCTTGGGTGGATGGAAGGCGCTGCCTGCCTATCGAAGCTCTACGCAATGGCTTCAAGTCAGCTAATTTCTGCTCGATGCTCACGACAGGTGCTTCGGAAACGTGGCTCCATTGGCCTGCAGGGCATGACCCGCTGACCACGCGGCAGATGCTTCTTCTCCATTGCCTGCCTGGATGATGCCAACCTCTGCACACATGTCATGCTGCATGCAATGCTTTCAGAAGCACAACACTTGAGTAGCATCAGGCTGGCTCAGGGGCGCACGATGACACCGAACAAGCCCAAGGCGCTACCAAAAATCTCCACAATCAGCATCTTAACCTGTATGAGAAGAGAATCCACATGCAATATTTCAACAGGGCAAAAAAGCATGACAACTTCGACTCTGGGTTCTCCAGCAAACAGCTCTGGTCGCTGAGCATCACCCAAAGCACAGCCACTTCCTGAAACTCCCACGCAAATTCCACCTTGGCAACCAGCTGGCACTTGTCCTCATCTGCTCTCAGTCAACTACTGCAGCTCAGGAGCAAAACAGGTTGGACAGACCAACAGATAATCCCACGCAGAACATGCACCAACCTTGAATTACACAATGCAAAGCCATCAAGCCTAGCAAAACTGAAGCTGCCTAGTTTGCTACAATGCCCAAACAGACTGAGGCAAAAGCCTGCAACCATGGTCTGAGCCTCACAGGGTTCTCGCGCTCGAACTCTGGGAACACAAAATCGCGCGCCCAAAACGGCTAAGCAGATTAGACTCATGATGACCCATACAATACGGCGCCTGCCAACCTTGAGGCTGCGCGGGCGCGTCAAAAATTTCGGAGCCCTCAATCTTGTTGGCCATGATAATTGCTATGATGACCTAAGCCGCGTTCAGGCCAAGTTCCCAATTCGACCTACCAAAGTATGTGGTGCGAGCCACGCCGTAGATTGCGACTGCCTCGCAAAAGATGATGCTGACCAAGTTTTTCGAGCCTCCAGTCCAAGCAGTCTCGAAGTTGCCAGTCATGTTTCTCGCTGCCCTCTGACTAATGCCACCGCGGCACTGATACGCGGAGCCTTGATGCCGGCTCCCACAATGCTGGATCCCGTCAAGAAGATTCCCCAAGCTGCTCCTTGCGTTGTTGGTTTCTTCTTTTTTTCCGAATACCTCAATTTCCGAAAATATCCAACCCAAAAACGACTGGCCTAAAACTGAAATACCAAGCGCGATGGCAATGCCCATGTACGACCACATATACGGGCTGATGGCCTTGTGCCAAGCAGTCGAGGCTGGAGAGACTCCAGTGCTATGAGAAATCTGCGCGCCTCGAACAAGCAGAGGTAGGAGGTGTTATAGCAAGAAGCCTGCCAAACGGAGAATATTATATAATGTTGTCTGCGACAAACGTATGCCTCGCGGGGATTTGCCATTGCGGCCTCAAATTATTTGCAACTGCATTTGTCTCATCAAGGGTGAGCCCAACCTTGACCACATCCTCTTCCACAACCATGGCTTCAGCCCCCCGATTGTAACTTGAGCCACACTGAACTGTCAGGCCGTCAACGAGAGCTAGTGTCATCAGACCAACAGGATCGTACAAGATCGTGCAATTCAAAGTCTTCTTGCAATCCATGTCTTCTTCCTGAAAGACATAGAAGCCCTGCACTCAGTTACTCAGTTGCTGTCCTCCGTGTCGCGGGCTCCAAGCCCGCCCATGCGCCATAGCAAGCCCTGATCACGATATTCATCATCATAGCTTGCTACCCGACCTAAGTGAAAAGGGGTGAAGGTGGGTTAGCGATCACTGAGCCTATGGGGCCGCTAAGCTTGCTCTCTTATGCAAGCCGTGCGGCAGTGCCGTCCAACCTGAAACTCCTCTTGTGACGGGTTCAGATTCTCCCGTTCATCATCCACAAGCACTATGTGGGGCAGGCTCAAGCCAGCCAGCAGCCTATTTTCGGGCGCATCGCCTGACAGGCTTGAGCTACACCAAGCCTGATGCAGCCTGACCCGCCTGACATTTGCGGAAACCAAGCTGCTGGATCCTTCAATACGCTTTCGAGCACCTAGACTGGTTGGAATGATGATCTGATAGACTCGATTCATTAATTGAACGTGTCCGCGCCCCTGAGGAGCCGGCATGGTGCTTGAGGTGACCCTCGGCCTCCTGCTGTGGCAAAGAAAACCTGAGCTTCTCCCCTTCGATGTGGACGTATGGATCAATTTCGAGTCAAGCAGCGTCTTCCATTCATTCACCTCCTTGTATACACCACCGGGCAGACCCGAGCGAGCTGACAGCGTCCAAATAGCGCTGAAACGGTCCGCCAGGCCGGCCATTCGCAGCAGATTTAGAACAGCGACTGCTCCAGCCTGGAACCAGCACCCTATCGCAGGCTATGCTGCAGTGCTCCGAGACCCTGTACAGCTCCATGCAATGTCAAATCATCAGAATTAGTTGCCAAGATGGGTAAAGTGATGCGTATGGAGAGATCTTCGCTTCAGCTTTTTGAGGCAAGCAAACCAGTCAGCTGAATCTGCATGACACAGCAGGGGGTGGTTGCATGGATCAGCAGTCAACCACCAACAAAAACGCAGCTTTTCCATGATGAGACTGAGCCTGACCAGCCCAGCGTACCTGGCCTTTGCAATTAATGTGACAAGCTGTTGCTTCCGCGTTTGAGCTTGGTGACCTTGCCGGTGGCTGTGAGGGGTCAGAGGCCTTTTTATTTACACAAAAAAACAAATGCAACAATGACGGAAAGGTGTAGACTCTATTAGGCTATTTTCCTTTGGGGAGTACCACAACTGTGTGCGCGCGTGCGTGCATGCGTGCGTGCATGCGTGCTGATAAATGATTGCAAACATTAAGTGGCAGTAATAAAACACATGCACAATCTGGTACTGGCGCTTGAGCGTGGCCTCATTGACGGTAAGTATGGCAAGCACTCGCCTGGCTCAGAGTGCATATTTATTGCACCGTCATGTTTGAGCAATCCAGCCTCTCACCAGTTTCAGGATCGTCGCACAAGCAATCAAAAAGCTGCTTCAGCTTTGCCACTCTATTTCCTTCCAGGTATGGCGTTTCAAAGTTATACTCTACCTTAGCAGATCACGCCAAGTTGGAGCGAAAGGGGCCACAGCTGTGCAACTGACATACAATGCGAGATACGAAGCGGTGGTGCAAGATGTCGTCCGCAGAGAAAAACAAATCTGTGCTGCATGCAGAGTCCTTCCGGGCCAAGCAACAAAAAACAAGATATGTCCCACCCACCCCAGCAGCAAAAAGCATCGGCTGCGTGGTCCTCTGGCATGAAGGTGTACAATGTCAGAGCTCCATCCAAATCAAAAATGACCAGTTTCACGGGAAGTGTTGACTCTGCAGGCTCCAAGTTGCTTTGCCAGCAATGGACTCGGTCGTCAACTTTGAACGCCCAAGGTCGGTTGGCAAAGTCTGTGAGCGTTTTGTAGTCCTCCTGCAACCATGGACGACGTCCACTGCCAACAGCAAACCACTTTACTCTACCAACACCATTGATCTCTTTGTGCACATCTGTTTTGCCATGAGCTGACAAATTCCAGCCCAGCCTGACTTAGTTTTCAATTATTGCTTTTGCATATGTCTGTGTGTGCGTGTGCGCGTGCGTCAGCGCCGTTCCGTCCGAATCTCATCAGTGTCACATTTGGTCACGCACCTCATTGTGAGCACCAATGCCACCCATATCCCTGACAAAGCCCATATCACGGAAGGATGGGGCATCATAGCCTCGGTCTGCGTTGCGGTGCACAAGTTGCACAAGGGTTCACGATCCAACCAAGAGTCGCTATTTGCAAGCTCAACCCAGGAGTAGGCATACGCAAGGTATCATGCACACACTCTAGAAATGACATGGTTTCAAAGCTGCAACTTGTGGATATGAAGAAAAACCGGGCGCCACTAGGCTGCGATCAGTTGGCAACTAGATCATTTGGCAACTTGGCGACTGTCATTGGACCTTTAGCATGCACAATTCACGCCGAAATGACACCCTTGGCATGCCAAGAAGCGTGCTACCTTGCAGCAGCGAAAGACTTTCTTCGGGGTGCTGCCGCCACACTGAAAATTTGTTCTGACATCATCAACCAGCAGAATCTCTTCTGGCCTGCCAGCAAGAAAAAACAGAACTCGGGAGTACATTGAATGATCACACAAATGCCGGGCAAGGATCAAAGCTTGGAAATGGCACCCAGCAGAAACACACACACGGCAACACACGGCAACTAGCTAGATGCGAGACAACAATACGCTGCTACGTTGCAGGATGCTTCCTCATGCAGTCCTCAAAGTGCCCGGGAGCAGGCCAACATCTTCCGAAAGCTGAGGGAACCAGCTGCCAGGATTCTCCGCAATGCTGTGGAGGACATGTGCCTGAAGAAGATGACAAACGCAAACGTGAATAATTGAATACACAGCAACAAAAAGAAGATCCAGAACGTGTCAGTGGCTTTGTGTCTTGGCATCACTGCTCACAGTACTCACAGGCCTTGTGGTCCGGGATGGAGTGGAACGGCGGCTCGAAGATTTTCCAACCCTCAGCTGTGCTCGGGTTGCCTGTTCTAGATCATCCAGGAACCCTGATACCACATCCACAGCGAACAAATCGAGTTGAGCTAAGCGCTATGGTGTAACATTCACTCTGCTTACTCCTTGCTGCACGATGTCGCTTGCAGATCGATAGACGCCAAGAGGAACTCCAATAGACGGAGACATTCCCCAGACTGCACTGAAGAAACTGTCCAGCTTTGCTGCCCTGGCAGTCAGCAACAGCGGCTAATCCTCCCCAGCTGGCTGGCGACATGCTTCTTGGGCGCGCATAAACTCCTCAAATTGACACACCCCGAGTCAAGATTATGCGAGGTATCACATGATCCAAAGGGTCTGTAGTAAACAGTTTTTCTCAGTGCCCATCGAGTTGCATGTAGTTACGAGGTTGCTTGCGTGAAGGTTTAACCAACTTGTGTTTGAACTCCATTGAACTTGGCTCAAGGAAAAGGGAGCGCGCATCGACAGATCGCTAATGCCGCAGCCGGGGGGGAATTAACTCTTTGGTACCTTGAGTCCCTTGTTCCTGGTTTTGGGTGTTTCTTGCGCAAACGAAAGCTGGGGCAGTGCAGCCTGCCCAGAGAATCATAGAGTAAATGTCCGGTGAGTGGGGGCTCGTTTGGCTAAGGTTGGTTCAGGATGGGTTGATTGCAGAATTGGTTGTTTCCGGGAAAATTTGGAGTTGTTTAGCGTCAAGTGTCGAGTGGTGGGTGGGTAGGCGGTTGTTCTAGTGTTGCTTCAGGGTGGAGTTAGTTGCCATAGGTTCGGGGCTTGTTTCTGGGTAGCTTTGGAATGGATGAAGTGTGGGTTTTGAGCGCAGTGTCCGGGTAGTTTTGGGCACGATGTAGGATTGTTTTGAGGTTGGTTCATGAAGGATTGGTTTGGGTCGCTGGAAAGTTTTGTTTTGCTCTGTGCGTTTTAGGGGTGGTTTGGGAGTGCTGGTTCATGGTTCCTTTAGGGTGTCTAAAACGAAGTCCGGCCCAAACTACTGTGATTTGTTGCATTGTCTGATGCCTTGCGTCTTGCGGGTACTGCCTCAAAAATATCGGGAAATCAAGCAGCAAACATGCTGATGAAGCCGACTGGTGCAAGCTTCCTGCCTGAGCAAATTGAGGCAAGCAATTGCCCCGCTGTTGTTTCGAGTCAGGACAGCCAATGTCCGACCAGGAACTCGGCGATTACCTTCAGCTTTGAAGAATCTTTTGAAGTCTTCCAACGCTTGAGAGTAAGTGTGCATGAATGTGCATGAGCTCCATCTGCATGGCACAACAAGCCATGTGCCAGAAATTGTCCAGCTCCAGCCTTTAACTAGTTCTCGGAGCATCTCGGCAAGCCGTGCCCTTCTGCCTGAGATCTGGCATTGCATGAAGAGATATACATAAGATATAAATTACGCATATGTGAATTTGATAATCCGAAGCTAAGGTAATGCTGCCAAATCAGTCCGAATGCTGCTGGAAGCTGAGAAGGGTGATGGTACCAAGCCCACCTTGCTTGCTCATGTTTTATAGGCGCGTCATTCTGGTAATGCTGAGCTGGTGATGCTGAGGATGCAACAGCCAAAGATGCCGGGGATGAAGGGATTTAAATAGGAACGAAAGGGGGCCCGTCTGGCAATCCCAACATGGTACAGGCGTGTTTTGGAAACGAAAGGTCCCCACTTGTGTCTTGTGGAGGCATATCCAGCATGACAGCGGGAACAAAAACACAAAGCTACAGGCATCCCAGCTAGGGACAAGAACACGAACAAAGGGAGGCAAACAAAAGGTCCTGCGGAGACCTTTCAAAAAGGACAGAGTCACATGCTTAGGGCCTTGTAAACCCGATAGAAGCCACAAACCCAACTGCAGATTACTTGCCAAAAGCTGCCGTTGCAATTCCTTTGATACTACATCCGCATTTGCCAATGAACAAACTTTTTGTCAAGGATCTGAAGGAAGGCGAGGAGACTCATTGAATCATGCATTGCGTCTCAACATAAGGTATCGACTCGTGGCATTCAAGTCACTCGACACCACAAACGGTGATTCAAAGTTCATTGCAGCAATGTAGTCTGCCCACCTTGGGACAATTCCCCACCACCAATGATGTGTAATGATAGGCTTGCCCAATGATTTGATTGACTGAGGTGAGTCACTGAGATTCCCAATCCAGCTTTGACCGGAGGTCATCATCATGCGGCAAGAAGGTTGACAAAGTCAGCGTCTCATCGCCTTGGAAGTGACGATTTTGTGGACAGTGTACAGCGCTTCTCAAGTGTTAAGTGTTGCAAGTCTGGAAACTCAGCTGTGTACAGTCAAATATCACCACACGAACTGGCGGCCGTATGTCTTGACCTGAGATCTGTGAGAGATGACATTGAATCTCTGGAAGAATGCAATCAAACAGAGTAGAAGCAACCCAATCTCCGGATTCAATCAGGAAACCCTCAAACGGGCGTTCGAAGCACCATACTGCTGCGGTAGTGAACCTGGTTGCACGCCGCACAAATGTCTATTTTGCCACTTGCAGGGACGCATGGCTCAGCTTCCACGCCTGCTGTGTGCTGAAGGCGTCCGATCCAAGGAAGGAGAACCACTCGGCAGGCTCATGACATCTTTCTGGTGAGCAAGTTGGGGTCCAGTGCATTGGTGTGCACTTTCAAAGCCTTGTGACATCGCCAACACCTTGCGGCTTCATGCTGCTGTGTGCTGCTTCAACATCCTTGAGTTGGTTAATTGCCTATTGCCAGGCCAGAAAGCGCTGGTGAAGGCATCATGTCCTGTATGGTAAATCAGCTCGAGCCAAGACAGCTAGCCACTGGCAATGCTGACCTTTGCACTGCTTACAGCACACACTAGGGAGCAAGCATGATAGAGCGGCAAAAGTAAAAGCTGCTGAAAGGCGCCGCGCGTTTAACAACCGCCCCGTGTTGCAAGGCATAGCTTGGGCAGCGGCACGGTGGGTATCCAATTTCTCCCATGAATCCTTGGGGCTGTTTGACTGCTCCGGCACAATAGCCTGCTGGGCCAGGTGCTCGCATGGTCTCCCAAAACGTGTCCATCCACAGCGTCCGCCTTGCACATTGGCTTGTTCGCACTTGCGAAATTGCCTACGGCTCCGGCTTGTCGTGAGGCACGTCATTGATCAGCAACGCAATTTGGACCGCCAGCTCCTGCGCTGTGGAGTTGTGTCATCGAGCAAGCTCAGCTTTCTCTGCGCAGTTGCAGCAAATCACATGAATTGAAAATCTCACTAATTCCTCTCCTGCTGCACAGGCCTCTTATCAGCCATCCACATTGCAAAGTACAATGCCTTCCAAACCTTCATGTATTCCAGCCTGTCAGAATTGCAACTATACATGTTCCTACATCATCTCCAAATCTGCTTAAAAGATACAATGGTGAGGCGCGCGACAATGAGCATGCCTGCCCAAGTCCGGATGCTTCAGTAACCATCTCTTCAGCTTCTTCAATCCACGATCTCGGACGCCCCTGGCGTGTCAGTGTCAATGTCAAACTAGCAATGCCATAATCACTTGTTCGTTGTCATTCTACCGGTTAGGCAACAGCGTTCTTCAGCAAAGTTGAAGCTGGCGCACTTGTCTGTGTGGGCCAGCTGCTTGCCAAAGTTGACGGGGAGCTTTTTGACATCGGCCTGCAAAAGCCCAGGTTCTTAATCTTCCTGGCTTGAACTGCAATAAATATTCTTGACACCAAAACGTGAATCATCGGAACTGTTCAGTGAGAATGAATTCGCAACAGGCCTCCACAGGGGTCGCCATCAGAGTCAAGCACACGATATGAGCATCATAGGAGGCTTGGGGCAACTGGTAAGCGCAACGTAAAAACACATATTTCCGGCTGACCAGCGACTGAGGGTCAACTCAACAAGAGCTTCACGTGATGAATCAAGTGTTAAGAATCGCAAGTTGTCGCACCTCAATTGAATGCATGTCTTTCAAATCTGCCTGGACAACAAATCACAATGCAGTCCAGCGTGCAAACAAATGAAGACATCTGTCGCCCTTGCCAGCACTGCACAGCAAGTTACGGGGATATTGCGTGTGCATCATGCCCAAGGCTGCATGGTTTTGATGCCCTGCTATGATGCCGCCAGACTTTCCCGCTTCGCCGAACTGAAGCTCTAGATGCTCCAAGCCTGATGCAAACTTGCTCTGCAAGCGCTGCTTGGTCGAATTAGATCGGATTTGGCCATAATCAAGACCAAAGCTACTGGGCATTGTGCAGGCTTCAAGATGTGCAAGTTGCCGGCAAAGTCAAAGGTGTGCCAACTCGCATTGCTTCCCAGCGTGCAAGACTCTACAACCAAATTAAAGCTGTGGCGCATTGTGCAAGGAATGCTACTACTGCCACATTGCACCACGTGAATTATGCATGGCGCCCTCGCCATGCTCAGGGCAACCAAATGGCTGACAAGACCAGCGAAATGCATCACAAGCATTGAATGTTTGCCACAAGTACGGCCAACGGCTTTGCCGCTTGGTGGGTTTGCCCATGGATAGCAAGAAGCCTGTGTCGCTGCCACAGGTTCTCACGCAAATATGTCCATGCACTGAAATTAGGCAAGGCAGTGAACAGCGCAGTGGTCGCCTCCTGCTCACTACTTTTCGATGCCAGGCTGCAGTCATTCTCGTGGACCTACAAAACAGTTGGTTGCATGTTACATAGTTTGACAACCTTGCCCCGCGTCGCGAATTCCACATGCTGATATTGCCTGTCAAGCTCATACTTTGCCACGCACACCGCAGGGTGCTTTTGGGGCGAGGGTGCTTTTTGATGTGCTCAAGGTGCAGTGGCCGCTGGTAGGGCTTGTTTGCCGTGCAGGCAATGCTTCGCGTGCTAAAGGTGGTGTGGAGGGTGCTAGCCCAGGGTGCTGCTGTTATCTCTCATGCTAGATGGGGTCTATGCTAGTGTAAATTGAGGGCACCCTTTTTGGAGTGGTGTTAAATGAAAGCCCAAGTTCCGTCAGGTTCAGCAGGCTATGTTCACCGCGCTTCCACGAAGGCCTTAACCAGGCACAATTGCGCAAACAAAATGCCAATTCGCATCTTGCCGCGGGAAGGATCAACACGCAAGAGCGCGCACATGGCCACGTCATGCCGACTTCATCCGGCTGGCCACCGCCCTTGTCAGCCAACTACCCGCAAAACACATCACGAAATTGTCAGGAAGTCGCGGCAAGCACCCACCTTGCCACAGCGCCACAGTCCAAAGATGATGTAAGATGCATGAAAGTTTACTTCGCATCAAACGTTGATTCAAAGCAAGTCCGCCTGTCACGCGCACGCCCCGCCTGCAGGTGGTTTGCGTGCAGTCCTCTGGTTTCTCAGCAAGACATGTCCTTTTCGCTCGTGCCGAAAGTCTAAGCTTGCCAACCACACTCAAAGAAACCTGGCTTCAGTGAAGTGTAACCAACACTCACCTGCAACCTGCGGCGATGAAGCAAACACAGGCACGCAAGCTGCGACTCTCGCCGAGCGGTGGCCCACCACTCTCAACCTGCTTCGCTGGTCCGGCGCCAGCGCGGCTGCCTTCTTTGTTGCGCCCAAACCATCAAGCCAATAGAAAACCTGACTGGATCTCGCGCTGCATGCTTTTTGGCTCGGCCCGCTGCGCGATGCCAGCTAGGCCGCGCTGCGCTTTCAAGTCAAGGTTCTCTCGCAATGCCATTCGGCAAAGAAAAGGCTGCCAAGAGTTTTGCTGGGTCAGCATCGAAACGCAAATCGTCAAAGGAGGCCACACCTCTCTCAGAACGGTTGTTGCCAAACAAGCAGCGACGAGAGATCAGCGGCATCTTAGCTTGCGGGCAAACCCCCTGCCGACTGCCTACCCTTCTAACCTTGCAGCGGTTTCCCTCAGCCTCCACCTGGCACAGATCATCCAAGTTCACTCCATCTCGATGTTGGCGGACACAGTCATGGCAGAGCCCGCATCAGGATGCGTGCTCCAGATCACAAGCTAAGATAAAGAAGGATTGCGCTAACCTAGCCGTGACATGAAATTGTGCACGGGGCTTGCGTTCCGGAAGAGAACGCAGATTTGCAGAAGAAGCTGGCCATGACTTGCTTGCGAGCTTGCAAAGCGAGCTGCAAAGCGTGACGTGGTACGAATCTTGTTGCGGAGGTACGCAAGGCGGGTCCGGGTTGCTTCACAGGTACATGGGAGAAAGGGGAGCCTTGACGCTTCCGCAACCTTTGAGTACAACCAAGCGCGCCTCCACACTTCCAGCTCCAAAGTTGCAACTGTTCAGCGCAAGCTAGTGGCGGCAACAAAGGGGTCGCTGCACCCCGGGCTAGGGTTGGGTACGCAACGAGGCATGTAACGCAGCATAGCACAGAAATAGCGGCTACCTGCACCAACCGTCCTTCTTCGGAAGTTGACTCTCATAGGCATGCCCTGCGAAAGCATGCTCTGCAAAACTCTACCCCTCGCAAAGCATCACAACCAGCCGTCTCAAGCTTGGCAGCTGAATGCATCATGCTCTAATGCCATTATCCCAAATGGAACGGCAATCCAGCAAGCGTTGTAGACGTGCACCAGCCTACAGGCACCAGCAATTCGCCAGGATGCTGTCCTCGAACGCATCACGCATTGCC